TTAATTTGCATGAAACCATAAAACAAAAAATGCTAACTCCAGCATGTCAAATTGTAGACCTAACCCGTATTAATCATTCTCCTGTTTCTAACTTTTCAACAACACTAACTAAAACTCAAAAAAACAACTCAAACCTCACCATTCCTCAATTTGCGGTGCGCCCTCAAGGACGTTACTCTGGTTTGAGATTTTAACAAAACCACCTCCTAGAAGGGAGAATGCATCGTAATCAGGCAGAGACAACCCCTACAGATGGAGGCAGGCATAAGAGATGGGCTGACGGAAGAGAAGCGACAGAAAGGGAAGAGAGGTTAAAGAGAGAAGGTGGAGATTGCAGAAGGGGTGATTTGTGACCCACAGGAAACAGGCAAAAGGGCTCATTTACCCTGAGCTCTCAGGGACCATAGCACGCCCAGGCGCTGTGTGTTTCCTCCTGATAACGAGCTCAGCAAGCTCACATGTACTCACTTGACCAATGTGGTTTTTTTAGGGACAAAGCTGGTCATTACTGGGTCAAAGCTGCTGCTGTTTATTCCTTTATCCTTTAAGTTTGACCATGGTCATACCAAAGAAAGATGGTGAAGAACTACAAGTATTCCTTGTCTCCTTAGATAATTGTACAGTTGGCAAGATGGAGAAGCCAAAGAGTGTCTCATTCTCACTTATTGCAGGGCGAGTAAACGCACAGATGTGCACAGATGTGCACGAGAGGTGGTAGCGATGGTGAGAAAAGACGGGTGAAAAGTGAGAAATTCCTCTAAGAAATGTCCCGCTCTTACAGCCTTAGTTCTTTTATTCAGATAGAACGATCGGGGTGAAAAAAATAAATACATATTTAAACAGATAAAGCGAGAGATAAAAGACTAAACTTGTCCCACAGCGGTCCAGAAAAAAAAGCTTTGTCACACCTCTCCCTGCCAAACACCAGCTTTTATTTTTTATCAGCCTACTCCAAACGCCGCCGATCCGGTGGGATGAATCTCGCCGATTAGTTGACATGTGTGACACCAGATGAATGCAGTTTTGAGAGGTATTCTTCCAATTGATGACACAAAAAAATATATACAGGGGAAGTTTTCATGAAAAATATATCACACGTAGTCTGCAAGAGGGCCACCGCCGAGCTGCTGCTCCCAGACTGCAAATTCCTGCGTTCAGCCGGAGGATGATGTGCTAAAACCTCGACGGTGAGAGATTGAGCGCTGTGTATTAGCTTTGCAGTTAATTTGACAAGTTCACGTACGCTCCGACTATAAGCAATATCACCTGTGAAGAAGAAAGAAAGTGCCGCTCAGAGGCAGGGAGCGTGTGTGTGAGAGAGTGTGTTAAAGGGAGTGGACTTGTGTGTGTGTGTGTGTGTGTGTGTGTGTGTGTGTGTGTGTGTGTGTGTGTGTGTGTGTGTGTGTGTGTGTGTGTGTGTGTGTGTGTGTGTGTGTGTGTGTGTGTGTGTGTGTGTGTGTGTGTGTGTGTGTTTATGTGCATGTTATTTATTTATTTTCCCTGGTAATATGCCTGAGCCTTCATTATAGCTGGAGCCATAACTTTGATAAATCACTTGGGCTCGGGGCCCTCACTGCTTTCACAGTATTAGAAAACTAATTGAAATTCTCTTCCGCCCCCTCTCTCTCTCTCTCTCTCCCTCTCCCTTTCCCCCCCCCTCGCTCTCTCTCTCTCTCTGTTTTTCACCCTCTCCCTCGTTCTCTCCACCCGTCTCTGTTGCGAGGGCCAAACAGTTCTGTGTTTTTTCAGTAGAAAAGAAGCCAAGAGGGGGGAAATGTCATCACTGATTTAATAGGCGTAGTCTTACCCAGAAACACACACAGAAGGCTCACACACACACACACACACACTGCACTCTGGGGAGTGTTAGGAATCCTGATAATGTCATCATAGGAATCTCCATAATGTACCCCGGTCTCTGCAGTCTCCAGTGCGACTGTGCCTCTCCCCTCCCCTGGTTTTGATTAGATCGGTCATGAGACTTTAGGTTTAGGTTGATGGGATTTAGAGTTTAGATACTTCTTTCTATGGCTGTGATCCCCTGCTGTCCCAGGATTGAGGGTCTGTTTGGTTCATTGCCTGGGATCTCCCAGCTGCCACTGGATTTAGGGTTTAGTCGTTTCATTGTCCGTGATCCCTCTGCTGCTGCTAGATTTGTTTCATTTGAAGGGATCTCTCCGTGCTGCAGCTAAATTCAGGGTGTGGTTGTTTTGTTGCGCAGGATCTCCCAGATTTGTTTTTGGGTTTGGTTTGTTTTATTATCCAGGTCAGGACATGCGTGCCGCTCCTGGATTTGGAGTTTGGTTGTTTTATCGTGCATCTCTCCGCTGATGCTAGATTTCAGGTTTAGTTGTTTCGTTGTCCGGGATCTCCCTGTTGCCACGGACTGATTTTTTTTGGGGGGAAGGTATAGCCACTTCTTCTTAATGTCCAGACACTGCTGCTGTTTGTGTGACACTTGGGGCTTTGTATCCACCCAGCAAACCCCTCCTCTCTCACTGGGTGAGCTTTGTAGTGTGAAGCCAAAAGATTTAGTGATGGAAGCAGAGAGTCTGTGTGTATATGTGAGGCGGCTTGTGCGGACCGGGCCATTTCATGGAGTCCTGTCAGCACACAACATTCTCTCTGAAAACATTCCTCTGCCGTGATGCAAGCCCAGCAGAGGAGGGCAGCGTGTGTGCCTTTCGTGTATTTTCGACCAGCGGCATGTGTCTGTTGCCCAGACAAATCCATACCATCGTTGCCAGACACACTGCAGGCACATAAACACACAGACACACACACAAGTTCCATGTGTGTGTGTGTGTGGTTAATGAGGATGTGTTGATTGATTAGACTGCAGTAATTAGCTGGAGTGTGAAGGCCTGGAAAGGTCTCCGCTCTGGTGGGAGTGTCCCCTCTGGAGAGACATAGAACTGTGCTATGCACCATTACGTTATATACACACACACACACACACACCACAGAAACAGTCCCATCCATATCTTAGATGCGGAATGAGTCATCTCTCGCAGGCAAACCTCATACTTGCAGGAGGAAGTGTGTGTGTGTGTGTGTGTGTGTGTTTCAGATACTGAGACATAAGGATGTTTGCAGCGTGGAGATGTGTGTTGCAGAGTGAGATGTGCTTGTGCCAGCAGTTTTTGCTTCAGTACATAGAGCCCCCGCGGTGCTGCACCGCGTGGCCCAAAACACTGACCTGTTCCTCTGCCTGACAAATCAACTCTCTCCCTCACCTCCTCTGCTTCCTCATTTGTAGTTTCACATCCTATCAGCTGTACAGATTTCACAGAGCTGCTTCTAGTAAATAATATGGTATTTAGTATGGCAGCCTAAGTCTTTAGCCTTCCTCTGACTTGAGTTTTGTGGATGTAGACCGAGCTGCTGCAGTAAAGCGTTGTACACAGCGCCACCACATGGACAACAGAGGATTCACAGATTTCTTTTTTTTTTTTTTTTCCCCAACAGGAAGTTCTACTACATCACTCTGCTGAGAGACCCTGTGTCTCGATACCTCAGCGAGTGGCGGCATGTGCAGCGGGGAGCCACATGGAAAACCTCCCTGCACATGTGCGATGGACGGACGCCCACGCCCGAGGAGCTGCCCTCCTGCTACGAGGGCTCCGACTGGTCGGGGTGCACCCTGCAGCAGTTCATGGACTGTCCCTACAATCTGGCCAACAACAGACAGGTACAGAGGAAAAGTCCAATATAACCAGTAGCTGTGATACTGGCACACACACACACACACACACACACATGCACACACGCAATCAGGAGTTCACCTGCTGGCCATAAACACCTCAAATTCACACCTTCTTTTCTGATGGCTTTCTCAGTATCCCACCTAAATGTGTTGGTCAGCTTATCTCACATGAGCCTGGGGCTGTTATTACTCAGGGTCCCATGGCTTATGAATGTGGCACACACACACACACACACACACACACACACACACACACACACACACACACACACACACACACACACACACACACTTGAGACATCCTGTTGTACTCTTGTGAATCCAAATCAGTATGCTGCTCCTGTGCTGTAACACAACAGCTCCAGAATACACTCAGTGAGGAAGTGATGTCTCACTTTGGAACAAATTTACCAGAGTTGAAACTGCTTTAGTTTTAGTACAATGCCTGATCAAGGAATCTAATATAATAATAATTATGAATAAAAACACATTATAGGATGGAGAACCAGTAGTTTTAAATAATATTTTGTATTTGATCATTTAGTTAGATGTAGAGCTGCAGTTATTAATCAATTGATCAATAGTTTCAGTAATATTTAAAGCACAAAAGGCCAAAAAACTTTTTGGGTTCCAGCTTCTCAAATGTTATTTTTACTAATTTTCTTTGTCATTAATGGGAGTAGATGGAACATTCAAAGGTTTTGACAAAACAAGCAAATTGAATGCAATTATTTCCGTAGACAAAATGATTAATTGAGAAAATAATGTATAATAATGGATAATGAAAGTAATTATTAGTTGCAGCCCTAGCCAGATAATTAATCAGTTATCCAGTCATCAGTTAATTTGTTCTTCATCATTTCAGCTCTATTCAGCATCAATGCAACACCTGATTGTTTGATTAAACTTTTGCTCTATAATCTTTTCATAAAGCCTTTCTGGCACTGAGGTTCAAACACAAGTCCCTTTATTCAAAGTTGCATTCTTTAAGACTGTCGTTCACAAAATCATCCCCCGATTTCTATAACCTCCTTCGCTTCCTGTTCCTCCCGACAGGTTCGTATGCTAGCGGACCTGAGCCTCGTCGGCTGCTACAACATGTCCACGGTTCCAGAGAAGAAGAGGGCCCAGCTTCTCCTGGAGTCGGCCAAGAAGAACCTTCGAGACATGTCCTTCTTTGGTCTGACAGAGTACCAGAGGAAAACCCAGTTCCTGTTCGAACGAACCTTCAGGTTGCGCTTCATCCGGCCTTTCATGCAGTACAACAGCACCAGAGCTGCAGGGGTGGACTTGGACAACGCTACGGTTAGTGCTGCTGCTCAGTCATCTTGTGGAGATTCAGTTCTGTGGGCAGGAAGCGAACATTCAAAATCTTACATTAAAAAAAACATGATCTGTTTAAGTAATCCAATGCATTATTAAAGATTAAAGCAGTGGATCCCAACCTTTTTCGGCATGTGACACCTTCCGAAAACGGTTTGGGAACCATGTAGTCTAATCCTAGACCGGGAACCACTAGGACCACTAAGCAGAACAAGTACTTCTACTACGTTATGACCAACGTCTCTCTAAGAAATTAAACATGGCAGCCGTAGCACATTCGCTTACAGACTAGAAAATATGAAGAATATTTGAAAAGGGAAAATAATCCGAAAAAAATAAAACTAGAAGATGAGAAACAGAGGAACACAGTGGTCTTCTATTGCTGTGAAATGAGTTGGGATGACTGTCACCGTTTAAAAAAAACAAAAAAAAAACAGCAGCTTCAAACGCGTTCTTCACACTTTGATTGGTCCAGTGTGGCAGTTCTTAGGCTCAATTCCCAGCAAAAAAAAAACTATCCTCCAGTACACAGCAGACTGGTGATTTAAACATCAAAACCACCAAATAAAATATGCCCCGCTGACAGAGAGGCTGGGGAAAGTTTATGTGCTTATTATCACAAAAGCAGAAAAATATTACTCGGTAAAAGTGTGACAGGTTGGCCAAGGCTGTGTGTGGCATTTTGAGTGAAAACTTGTTTTCAAAAGTAGCTTTCAAATTGAATGCTTAAAAAGGCACTGTGTGAAATTGCGACACTATTTCATTATTTCTAAAATGTCAAGTAATTACATCAGCAGGTGAAGAGAAGAATATTTACTCTCCACTCCCCAGCAAAGCTGTTGAAAGCTCATTTATATCCTCGTGCATCAAGATCCCAGCGAGTCATTTCTGATTGAAACTGGTTTCCAGCTAACGTGACGACTGTTCCCTGATACGTGAAGTCTTCGTGACGACTTGAGCTCAGCGCCGTCTTCCTAGCTTTGTGCCGGGTTGTCCCCCGTGCTGCCGATCAAACATCTCTAATTTCTCTATCGCCGATGCAGCGCGCCGTTTTCCCTCTGTTGACGCACACATGTCTCACAAATTATATCCAGCGCTCCATTGCAGATTTCAAAGGGATTTTCTTAATTAAACACATTTTCCCCCCTCCATGTTGAATCCACACACAGCGGATGACACACGCCAATAAACCCAGTTGCATCGCACCAAACATCAAACACGTTTCTGTTATCTCACTCCACATATTGCCAACACACTTTTTTTTCCCTCTGTTCCTCTTGTGTTGGAAGTCCTATAAAGCTTTTGTACAACAAATGTCATGTAATAGGGCGCTCCACAGCATGAACGTTCACCGGGAGTACAAGTCTCTACGCGTCCTCCTATACAATAATCACAGGTTTTAAAAAAAGACTGTGCCCTCTGGGTTGTACGCTCTAAGGCCATGTTAAGATCCACTTTAGCCCTCTCGTTCATTTGAATGAAGCAAAAAAAACAAAACTGCTTTTACTTTCCTAAAAGAAGGACCAAAAATGTGTCACTGGCCAGATTGGAAATGTTTCCTACTCTGAGACAATTAGTAAATATGGGCCCAGATTGTCTACTGTGGAGACTATCAACTCTGCATGTGTCCTTTTCATTCATTTATTTAATCCACTCAAACATTAGAGTCACACCACAATCACTACAAACCAAAACAGAGGAACATTTAAGTTTAACTTAAGTTCCTCAGTTTAGTTCCATGGATGCTGCAAACTTTTGGTCTCAAATGGCTAAAACGTTTCTTCCACCTCTTCTTTACTGAAACATTTTGTCCGTTCGCCTCCTTGTCAGATCCAGCGTATAGAGGAGCTGAATGAGCTGGACATGGAGCTCTACGACTACGCCAGGGACCTGTTCCAGCAGCGCTACCAGTACACGAGGCAGCAGGAGAGGCGGCAGCAGCGCATCAAGAACCACATGCAGCAGAGCCACCAGGGCCTGGGCCTGGGCGTCAGCCTGTGGCCCTCCCACGGCCGGCAGAGCTCGGTGTCGACGCTGGAGGACGGAGAGGGGGAGCGGGAGGAGGGCGAGGAGGGAGGCAGAACCGAGGAGGCGGGCGGCAGGCTCCCCACCGAGGACTACATGAACCAGATCATCAACCGCTGGTAGCAGCAGAATGAGAACAAACACACAGACATGCATATGTAATGTGAAACACACACACACACACACACACACACAGAGTGGCACCTGCTCAAAAGACCCAAATGACTGACAAACAGACTTTACTGGAGAGTTGGGCTACGGGAATGAGAGTTGCAGTGGTGGCGATGGAGACCTGGGCTTGGTCGATTGCATCAGCTCACATTACTGAGGTCCAGTTGTTATTAGCACCCGCTTGCCCTTTCTTCCCTTCCTGCCCCTCTGAGTTCCTCTGTCTCTCCTGAGAGATATTTTTAAGAGTTGCTGAGCACTGAGCATCTCATCCATGC